TTGGATAGTGAATTTCCTCCGATTTTTCCTGATTTTCATACATCATGTTAGTTTCTAGCAAAGATATTTGGTTTGACGTTCTATGTGAGGAAGTAGAGACAATCGGGTATCACTCAATTTCCCCTTTCTAAGTTTGTTAACTGATGTGTTCTACCTATCCTTCTTTATTGCTCCTCCCAACTTAATCTTTCCTAGGCTACCTAGCAAAGACTGTGTTATACTGCGAAGAGAACTAAAAGCCGTAAGTAGGGCGAGTGGGATGTCGCTTAACCAACTCGTTAATACTATTGTAGGTAGACATTTAGACTCATGTAAGAAATTTGTAAATATTATCTTGCCTGACCCTGAGCATCCTCTCTATATACAACTCTCTGCTTCTCTCATATCTCAGGTAGGGCTAGAACCAACTATAGACGACTTTATGATCGAACGAAAAAGTATAAAAACTCTACAATACCGTATTCGGTACACATTTTATCTGATACGGAAAGTGTCGGGCAGGAACACTACCAACTTACTCCTGTGATGAGAAAATTAAATGCAATATTGTACTACATGCTGAAAACTCCATATTTGTACAAAAAGTACTATTTGGAATAAAGTTATTATTATCACTATTAAGCAGATTATTACTATTGTTTACTTCAATTCCTAGAGGAACATAGGGCTTCAGCCGTGCGTCTCCATTGCCTTCAGTTCTCTGCTACAGTCTTCACTTGGCTCCAAGTCTACCCACACGCTCTCATCTCCTCTTCACATCATCTCCTCCAAGTCAACCACCCTCGCACTCACGACCAACTCGCCGCTTCCCTTTCAGTCGGGTTACACTCGAGCAATGGTTTGTCTAGTGATGTCACTCACTTGATGGTTTGTTTCCTCAGAGTATGACCAGCCAATCAATCCTTCTCCATTTCTTCCTGCCTGCCTATTTCTTTCACAATCGGTTCCTGCTGTGTTGGTTGGTTCGCTCATTGCCAGAGATCCCTCTCTGTTGCTGATCTCTTCTGGCCGGCAGCCGGCCAACTGATCTTCAGTGGTATTGGTATTGAGCGAAGACAACTAGCTGTTGATGAAGGTGTGTAGTTTGTTTGAGATGCTGTTTATGACGCGCAGTGCAGTGCAAGTCTCTGATCCATCCGTATAGTGAGTAGCACTGACTGACTTCACATTGGAGTTGAAAATCCGGATCTCATCTTCGTTTTGATGCTGACTGAGTAGGGCTGTTGACCTCCTGCACACAGACTTGAGACTAGCGAAAGCTTGCTTGTCTTGCTTCTCCGATCCTCGCTGCTTTGATAATGCGGCTTATTATTTTGCTTGGGATTGACAGGAGCATAATTCCGCGCCAGTTCTTGCATTGACTCAAGTCTCCTTTCTTTGATAGTTTCAATAAGTATCCTTTCTTCCAATCCTCGGCTACTTTGCCTTGTTTCCACACCTGCTCCAGTAGTGGCGTTATAAAGTCCACTGTTGTCTGTGGGTCCATTTTCAATGCTTCTGCTGGGATTCCATCTGGTTCTGCTGCTTTTCCAGCTTTTAGCATCTTGATTGCCTTCAGGACTTCTGATTAAGCAGATAGTTGTCGACTAAAGTGAATAACCCTAAAGCTTACTTTATAAAAAATCTACTAACCACAATGTCGGGGAGTTTAATAGCTTAATGGTGGAATGCTCACCAACCAGGTAGGTGGTAGGTAAGTGATCCGGTTTCCATTCCCAGTCGATAAAGAAGTAAGGTTGGGCGTAAGATCAGCCACCTCGATCTGTTACGAAAAAAACCAACAACACCACAGCTACTAAGACCTCAAAACTCAAGCTTCAAAAGCCTACATTCCACACGGAAGGCAAACGAATGAAGAAATAAAAAACAATGTCGGCAGATTAGTTTATCGAACAGTTTCAAAGAAGTAATCCTAGGCAATCCTAGGCTCACTCATTTTTGTGTAGTAAGTGTGTAGACAAACTCCACGAAGTCACTAACACACACAAAGATGATGGGGAGAAGGCGTGAATTAATTTTACTTGATGTCTTTTACTGAACTACAAACAAGCTGAAATAGATACAACATTTGTCATAGAATAAAATTAGCATATTTTAGCATTCAGACAGTAGAAGCACGAGATAGGAGTTATAAGGACAGGCGAAAATCAAATTTTAAAAAATGTCAACGCCATGAATTATATTTAGTGGAGAGAAAAACATGACAATTGAGTGGTGGGAGAGGTAAAGATGACGGCAACATTTCTGGTCTACTGACATTATGGAAGTTAGAGTTTACCTCATATATATACATATATATATATATGTCAAAAAAAACGAAAGAGAACAAATGCTTAAGGTTTTTCACATGCAAATTGTTCAATTTAAGAATTTTATAGATTTCAGAATCGCATCTCTAGCATAATTGTGGAACAAGTCAAGGTGTGAAATTTTTTCACGGTTAGGCTTTCCAACCTTTCTCTTTCAGACGAAAAGGTAACTGTTATAGCTTCCAAAGCCTCAGGATGGTCGGGTGTGGGTGCCTTGCGCTGCGGGTTGGCCACCCCTCCGCACACCTCTTGAAATGCTCCCATATGACCGGGCGTCTTACATAGCCTCTCCTGAGGAAGTCCTACTCACTGCCTTCACGTGGCGGAGGTGTTTTTCACCAAAGTGAGAGGGCGAAAGCGGATGCCCGGCGCTCTTCACCGGGTTGACTGTCCATTGGATGACAGTCTGTCTAGGGGAGATGGCTAAACCCTGATTCCAAACCTTCAACGACTGGCGTATGAAGATCACTGGAGCTCACCGGCAGACGTATGGACAAAGGGCTTGTTGGATGTCCTGGATGTCTGGCCCCATTCAAAAAGGCGTATGAACCGAACTCCAGTCACCGGCTTCCAATGGATAGTGGACTCCCTACTCCACTCCTACTGCCTTGTAGGTCACACTTGGTTGTGTAAAGGCTAGAGCTGCACTCTCAAACAAAAGGCCGAGCGATTCTGGGGACATCACTCCTACCAAATTCTCATGAAACTTCATGAACTCTCTTACAAACATGGCTTGGTACAGTCAAGGCTGATATGGAGTGCCGGGGCTACAAACCGTCTACGGACTCCGTCTGTGGAACAAGAATTGGATAACCCTGTCGCAAAACCTTACATCAGATCGCCGCGCCTGGGCAGCGATGATTCGAGATGTTCATGAAGCCGGCTCATCCTCTCGTAGGAGATAGCCGAAGTAAAGTAAAGTAAGTAACTGTTCTAGAATGCTAGTCACTTGAAAAAAGATCTTACTAAACACTTTCATCATAGACAGTCCTTCCAGTCAGAATTGCGACTTAACCCTGAAAGGTGTTTTATAACCTAAGTTATTTTACACTATGACGATAGCTGCTTACACACAGCTCAGTTACAATCATATAAATCTTTTTTTCATGCATGACAAGCTGTCAAAAAGTAAGCAACCCTCTCAGAAAAAATACGATGTGTTGGTATCTTCGCTGCCACACTACGACTGACATTTTCCTCTCGGCCATTGTTCTTCAACTACTCTAAAGATAAACTATCGCATTTGACCACTTCCATGTGTATCTACCAATTCACCTGCTCTTGCGGAGCGACGTATATAGGTCGTTCGATGCGTGTTTTATCTAAAAGAGTCCAAGAACACTATCCCGCCTGGCTACGGAAAGGTAACAGCGGAGCAATAAGGAGCGCCATTATTGAGCATATACTCAACACTGGTCATTCGATTTGCAAGGAGAATTCGTTCAAAGTCATCTATAAAGTCAAAAGAAGCCTTCCAAAATCGACAAGCTTCCGTTTATTTTGTATTGCTGAAGCCTTAGCGATTTGGATAGAAAAGCGTGAGTTATGCACACAGAAGAAACTTCTCCACCCCCTCTTACTACCGTGGGTTTAATTTCAAGTTTATTTGTCATCAACATTTTGTTATCAAATTTTTTAGCAATTTTCGTATAACAATTTTTAGTAACTAACCCATTCAATCTTTTCACCTATTATCTAGTTTATTTTCATAATTGTCTCCATACTCCTTCACTAACATCTAATCTTTCTAAACATGTCTATATTACGTAAACCTACTCACATCTTACCAATCTTCACCCCACTTAGTTACAACTTTGATTATTAATCACACATTTTAATTTCTTTATTATTTTGATGATATAATCAACAACCCACACTAAGTGTTATTTTGATTTTGACAAACCTAATGTACACACACACACACACAAAATAATTGTATATATATTTGCGACTGTACAGCTAAGTGAATGAATTCGCCGAAAAGAGACTCTTCGCTGAACTAATTTGTTCTTAAATATAAGGGAGTTTGACCATAACATTAGGACAGCTGTTAACAGTTGAGTATTCAATAGACTAGTCTGTCTGTATTCGACATTGAACTTTGCACCGATGTCCAGCAGCTCAAGTCGCCACACTCCCTTCTTCTAGCACACAAATCAAGAGAAGAAAGTAGGTGAAATGCATAATATAGACAGTAAACAGAGGTGTGAAACAAAGGAATAGTAATAACGAAGAACAAAACAGTTTCATTGGAAATCATAAGTCACAAGGAGTGGATGCATGCATCTGCGCCAACCATTGACAACGATTTTGAGCTAGCCATGTCACCAATTGTTTCCAACCTTCATTGGTTTTTACCGTCCCGAGGATCCCAACCAGTCAGGAAGCCAGTCTACACCTTCCTACGTGGCTGGCTGGCTTACACTAACTGTTGTGGATTTCATTGACTGGTGAAGCCATGTTTCGGTTTGACCACCATTGGCTAGCTCTTTTCCAGCCTGGCCCTATGTCAGCTTACATTGCCCATTGTCGAGGAAGGCGATGACTAGGCATACGTCAGACATGTCCTAACCATCTCAGTTGATGTAGCTAGACTAGAACCGACTAGAACAGATTATGAGCAGTAATATATTAACTTTAGAATCAATTATCACTTCAGGATTATCAAAAACATATCCAATCATCACTCACCTGATAATTGATATCCACAGAAATAATCTGTAGGCGATTTTCTACGATTCGATTTATCCCTAGAAATAATAAATTCCACTTGTGACTGTGAATTATTATTTAATTTTGGAGTAATAAGAAGAAATATATTATTATTATTATTATCTTGTTGATTGATATCGGATTGTTGTGGATAAGCGCCTTTTACAGTATTCGAAATATTCCCATAGAGATTATGTGAAGGAAGTACTGTTGATGAGGATGCTGTTGTTGTTGTTGTTGCTGCTGCTGCTGTTGATGATGACGCTGACGCCGCCGCCGCCGACGCCGACGAGGCGGAGGAGGAGGAAGATGAAGACGACGATAGCGACTGGAATAAAGACGGATTAGAAGAATATACAGGCGCCATCCAAATTTGATCGGCAAGAAGACGAATTAAACTGGAGAAAGATAACTATCATATGAACAGAAAGAAAAGAAAAGAGAAAAGGCATACACAATTATTATGATGAAATGATTATATAGATGGGAAAAAAAAGACTTATGAACTGACAGTACTAACATCGTGTTGTTCGGTGGTTTAGTGGTAGAATATTCGCTAACTTTGCCCACTCATGTGATGATTTGAGGTTCGATTCCCACACTGACATGCAGTCTTGGAGCTCAGCTATCCGGTAGCAGCAAGCTAAGGGAAGTGTGAATGTTAGGCGTGAAACTAGCAACTACCACTGCTGAAACTTTTCTGTCAAGCAGCCAATAGCCACACATTCCACTCGGAATGCAAAGAATGAGAGAAAAACATTAATTCAGGATGTTATAAGAATAAAACTTGTGCACTGTGGTAGAGTGTAATTCCATTATGGGTAAATTTTTATTTTGATAAAGTCTCACAGTGTTGTTATACAGTAATGTTTACTGATGACCACGTTTCGAGCACAATTTATTACTGCTCATAATCATATCAAGTTAATCACACGACTTCCTAAATTCATTTATATACTTCCATTGTTTTTCACCTGATTTTCACTTGATTTGATTGGTAGTAATATTTTGCATATTTCGAGTATGAGTGATGAATCATTCCTATTGCATGTGTTGGGTGTAGATTCGATTTGACACACATAAACTCACTGGTGGAGGAAATAAAATTCACATTTGAAACCGAAAATGAGCAAGGAGAATTAGCTATGTTAGACTGTAAAATAAAACGAATAGAAGAAGGCAAGCTACACACTAGTGTTCATAGAAAACCAAAACATTCTAGTAGATAATTAGACTTTAATTCATCTCATTCTTTAACTGTTAAGGCAGGCTTAGTTAAGTGTTTAACAAACCGAGCAATGACATTAAGTAGCACAAAAAAGACCTAAATGATGAAATAAAACAGACAGAAGAGGCGTTGGAGTTAAATAACTAACTATCCTATAAAATTCATTAAGAAGATTGAGAAATGCCAAAAGAAAAAGAAAAATAATTGTGAAACTAGTAATAATAACATAAATAAGAGAGAATATAAGTCATCTACAGTTATACCATATAAAGAGGGGACATCTGAGACCCTACGTAGGATTCTCAATAAAGCAGGAATTAGGGTGGCATTTAAGCCTACAAACTCACTCAGGTAGGACAAGCTCTGTAGGTTAAAGGACCCAGTTGACCAAATTAGACAAAATAATATAATTTACAAAATACCCTGCAATGACTGTGAGTCAGGTCAACTACATAGGTCAGACTAGTAGGTCAGGGGTAGTCAGATTGTCAGAACATAAGAATTTAGTTAGGGTAAGAATGGTTGACCCCGAGGAGATAAATAATTTAGAAAACAGATCAGCAATTGCAATGCATGCATTAACACACAACCACACAATAGCATGGTAGGAGAGGGTTAAAATTCTAAAAAGTAATCTATGTAGGTGGAGAGAGAGGTTGATTACTGAATCCTTGTTCATCGAATCTACACCCAACACATGCAATAGGAATGATTCACCACTCATACTCGAAATATGCAAAATATTACTACCAATCAAATCAAGTGAAAATCAGGTGAAAAACAATGGAAGTATATAAATGAATTTAGGAAGTCGTGTGATTAACTTGATATGATTATGAGCAGTAATAAAATGTGCTCGAAACGTGGTCATCAGTAAACATTACTGTATAACACTGTGAGACTTTATCAAAATAAAATTTACCCATAATGGAATTCAGGATGATCTCCACAGTAATCATGTGTAGTGGTACCTACTCAATTCATGTTAGTGAAAGCAAGAGAAAAAGAACCAGATAAGAGAAAATGATGAGAATAACTGCATATGAACAGTTTTATAAGGAGGAACCGAATACTTGTGAAAAGGATAAACCACAAAATAATCGAGCAAAGAATATTCTTTTCGATAAATTCCTCTTCCAGGCTCTACAATTATGTATATGTTTATATACACAGAATATTTTAATTTAGTAGTTAATAACAATATTAGCGTTTTTTAAATAATATCGATTTGTAAAGTATGATCACAATGGAATCACCACAGTTCATTAAAGATGCTTAAATTATAATAATAATAATAAAGATATAACAGCGAACAGAATATCAACTAAAATTAGGGAAATTTCACAAAAATTCAAGATTATTCAAACCTGGATGGCCAAGTGGTAATGATAATGACTGGACCAACTTCTTTTGGGTGCATAAATTAGGCTTATTAATATGAATCCCCACAGCCTCAGCAATATTTAGAAGTCGAACTCTTAAAGCGAAATTGAGATTCGTAGGTATTCGGTAAATGACCCTGAAAGCATGATTGACGTCAATCTTGTGTTCTGTCTCCACAAGATGCGCCAGAATAGCGCTGCGAATAGATTTTGTTTGACCTTTGCTTAACCAGGCAGGTTGATGTTCGGAAATTCGACGAGAAACACGCCTAATTGTACAGCCTATGTAACTGGCTCACTCCACAGGAGCAGTTAAATTGGTATATACACATGGAAGAGGCGAAATTAGTCAGTTTGTCTTTTATTCCCGAACGCAGAAGAGGGATGGTTTTAAAGATACAGCGTAGTTGAGCAGCAGGGAATGCTCTTTTTACCACCGCATTTCTGAGGCGATGTGTTAGTATCTCACTTGTGTTGTCTCCTAGGAACTGCATCTGTAAGAACAAGGCTTTCTTTGGAACTGTTGGTAATTTGGACTGTTTTGGTTTTAGATTCATATTCTTATCAATAAACTTTTCGGGATAACCATTCTCACTTAGCAACCGTTTAATATTGTTAATATTATTACTTTACTATTTCAACACAAATTTGATGCAGCGATGGGTACCAAAGGATGCTCCACACACACACACACACACACACACACACACACACAAGTAATATAAACACAATGTGTGGAAAAAGAACTAGAATTTACTGAAGAACAGAATCATGAGAATTTTATGCTATTAAATTCCACACAATATTACGTAACGTTTCTGTTTTGTTCGATTTGTCTACTAATCTTATAATCTTGCACACCTTTTTCAAGTTCTATCCATCCTATGAATTATTCTATATATGACATGAATTGTTTGTTTCGCCACTTGACATTTAACTATGATGATAATCACAATTATTTAATTTTAATTACATTTCATACTATTATTGCTATTATTATTTTATGCATTCACACCTATGATTCAATTCCCTCACCGGATATAACTTATTAAAAACCATATATATACAATTGTACAGCTTGATGATAAATTCGTTGTTGAAAAGAGTCTCTTCGCTGAATCACCACTTATTTTGATTTTCTATATATCAAATTCGCAGTTTACCAAAAAATGGTTAGTAACTATTTCTTCCTTATTTGTGGCTCCTCAACAGTATGGACCCATGATCCTAGCAAAGTTCAAGTCCAAGAGAACCTTGGATTACGAGGTGAACATGTGACTTAATAAATAACTTAAGAACTCTAGCATTCACCCATTCATGACATAAACCACCAGTCAATTTTGATCTCGGTGAGTATCTGGCCTCATTCTATCAGTCACAACTAGTCATTTAAAACAACTAGAGTAGAACAGTACTAACATCGATTCGTGGTGAAATCTAACAATTAAGTTTGTACAATAATGCCTGACTGGCAAAAAAACAAGCACAAATATATACTGTTATTTTGCCTGTCAGTGTATCGTTTGTTTGCGTGCTTATGTTTTTACTCTCATATATATATATATATATATATATATATATATTGGTAATCTTGTCTACATTCTTTTTTCTCCAAGATAACAGCAAGATATGTTTTACGAGTTGATCACGGACTGATATCAGTTAGAGAACCATTGAAAACCAGCCACAGGGAGTACTGGACAGCTGCTGTTTCATCCTAGTGATGTCCAATTAGATATCACGTGTGTGGATGGATGTCCCACCAACAACAATAGTTGGAGTCGCGCTAAATCACGAATTGGTAGAAGTTAGAATTCATGGGCTGGTCATTCAATCGGGTCCCAGAGAGTGGCTGAATGGTATACGAGCCAGCTTGCCTTGTAACCGGAAAGTCCTGGGTTCGAACCCTGGTGGTGGATGCTTACTGCCGATGATTCCCAAACTAGGCTGATGAAGCAGCAGCTGTCCAGTACTTCCTGTGGCTGGTTTTCAATGGTTCTCTAACTGATATCAATCCGTGATCAACTCGTAAAAAACATAACTAATCCTTACAAACCAAACAATATAGAAAACAACAAGATAGAAAAAGTGAAATTCAAAGATTAAAAAACGAAACAATTTTCAGTGAATTTTTTGTATAATAGCAAAAAAATAAAAATGCCATTTATGTGTATGTATCCAAAAATCTGGGAGGACAACAAAAAAGAAAACGGTAATATGACACCTTTCCCTCCCTCGCGCTCCACCTCCGATCCTACTATACACACACACCCTAGAATAAAGGGTATGGAAATATCACCGGGGTTAAAAAAAAGAACACAAAAAGGACATAAAAGTCAATAGATTCAGTTACTTCACTTCACTTCACTTATGATTTTGCATATATTATGCATGCATTGTAATCATAATGACAACGAAGAGATATAGTATTTGCTAATGGATTTAACTTAGTTTGTCTTAAATTATTTTTATCGAACGGACACGGTCCAATTTGTAAGCGAGAAAAATTGCATAGAGAGTATGAAAAACAAACAAGAAAATTAGCAAAACAGGAATTACTAAGGTTAGATTTATAAACAAACTTATTCACAAGGTAAAGGAGTGCGTCTGTGGCCGGGTATCGAACCCCAGACTATGTGCATGGTCGGCGAGCGTCCTTGTCGCTGTGCCACCGACGCAAGCGTGTGTCGGAGGTGGGATTCGAACCCACGCCCACATCGTGGACCAGAATTTGAGACTGACGCCTTAGACAGCTCGGCCACCCCGACCTGTCGTTCTTGGCTGGGCACCATAAATGCCTAT